TACTTCAGGGAGCTGTGGTGTGTTCTGAAGGTTTTTTTTTCCTAAAAGCATTAAAAACCAAAACAAAACAACAACAAAACCCCTCTAGGATACTCCTGATTTTATATATATTTCTTAAACAAAAATACTTAAATATTAAATTTGGTGATTTCAGGAGGTAGAAAACCAACCAATCCCCTTAGATTCAGGAACCCTTAGATTCATTCCTGTGTTGAACAGGTAGTCATTAGGGGCCAGACTCAATAAGCTTCCTTTCCAGCCCTAAAATTCTATGATTCAGTGAGAGGTGCTGTATTTTGTAAATGGACAGCTTTGCTGGCTTCCGTGTCCATGTACAAATGTGTTGGAAAAACATTTTTAAAGAATTTGGAATTTGTAATAATGATGAGATCTTTTCAGGACCTCCAGGATGACAAAGAAGCCAAAATGGTGACTGTTTTGGTTGACACCTATTTAGCTATGAACGTGTCTGTCATTGGAATAGGTCTAATAAATATTACAGAAGATTTTGCCTTAGGGTAATAATCATGAAGGTCTAAGATGACCTGCCACAGGTGTCAAATGAGACTTCTAAAGAGAATTTCATGCACTGTTAGTGGGGAAACTAAAAGTTTTGTGTGAAATTCAGTGGATGAAATAGAGTTGTTTAAAAACATTTTGAAGAAAGTGTTAAAAATATGATGTTATGAAATGTCATATTAGTATAAACAAATAAAAAGCTTAAGTACTTTCATTGAAATATCAACAACCCTGGACATCTACACATGTGTATGAAAATTCAAATTCGTAGTCATTCATTCAAGCTCATACATTTACCTGAATCTAGGAGGAATCACTGAAAACAATCTAATACTTATAATATAAATTGAATATTAGCTTACAGATTTTATTTTTTTGCAGCAACTTAAATTAATTCTTATTATTTCTCTCACTTTCTCCCTCTATGCACATGCATACACAGTTAACTAACACTCAAGAATTATATTTATAAATAGCCTGGCCACTGAGAATCTTGATTTGCCCTATCTGTTGTATCTAACATCAAAGATAAATTTTATCTTTGCTTACCCTTAAGCAAGGTAAGGAAATGGGTTCCTCTATTGGGGGGGGGGGGGGCATGATCAGAATTGTTTGAGACCCTGTCGTTAACTGTATTGAAATGCTGTTTACAACACTGAAATTTCAGGAGCTATTAAATTCTTTAAATTTAGTTTGTTACATAGAAACCAAATGTTAAGCTTGTTTTGTTTTGTTCTTGTATTTGTTTTTGTTTTGTGGTCCTGGGAATCGAACCTAGGTCTTCTGCAAGCTAGGTCAGTGCTCTATCATGGAGCTACATCCCCATTCCCCTAATGCTATTCTTGACATAGTAGCTTCCCTGTCCTGTTTATCTTGGGGTGTTAATTCATAAGCTTTTGGAAAGCAGTTCATCTTACTACTTTGTCCTTTTCATCATTTCTCTTAAGATAATAAAATAAAATAACCTGTACCAAGGCTTTAAAATAAATATTTCCCACATATTTCAACACGTGTTATTTCTATTCATAATTCTTAACTAAATTTAGATTTTTATTAATCCAATGTGACCTAAAATTTCTGCATTAACAGCACAATGTGGAATTGGGCTTATTCTCTTTGGCTACAGATAAAGCCATCATCTTGAAAATGGCTCTTTCTGACAAAAAGGTGTTCTTTTGAAATAAAGTCTTATTCACTACATTCCTCTTAGAGTTAATGTGAATTTTAGTGCCTCTAATTTTAGATTGAAGTGAAGTCTAGAATAAAACCCACCAGCTGACAATTGAATTTATAGATAGTTGTGAATATTTCAGGCTTGAATAATAGAGCTGTAGAATTTCAGAGACAGAGAGCGAGAGAATTAAGACTCGCTGTAGTTTTAGGTTATAATGCAATGGTGTCTAGGAAGTGTTCAGTGTAATAAGCTAAGTAGTAATTAGGAGACAACTGTGTTCTTTCAGGGATTCTGTTGAGGTGTCACTCCAAGCCATGGGAGTGTGACTCAATAAGGCAGACCTGCAGCCCCTGTGGTCTCCCCTTGGGCCCCTCTCCACTCATGGGTGAGTGGTAGTTGAAATTGCTGAGAAATAAAAGCAGTAGATTTCTGTGTGTATCACCTCTACCCTTGCTTGTACCACTATTTTTTTTTTTTTAATGATACTTCTGTTAAAAACTTAGTTGACATTAAGGCATTTCTGCTCTGGACTTTGGAGTCAGACACATGTTCAAATCTACGTCTACTACTTCCTAGCTGCATGACATTTAGGAAATTTCTGAACATCTGAGGCTCAATGCCTGGCATATAAAAAGCATTCGAATAGTGTTAACCCTATTAGTATTTCCACTGGGCAAAGGTATTAATTAAGGAAGCAGTTCATGTTGGAAAAGAACCATGAACAATTTAGAGCACAAATCTAGTTTGTTCACATTCATTTATAGCCAAAGTGGCCAGACCTCATTTAGAAGATATTTCCAGGATTCCTAGGACTTCCCTGGCAGTGACTCCTCCCAAATTGCCTTGCGTGCATCCAGGATGTTGTAAAGTATGGACTGAGATTTGGGGATGAGACAGCTGGCTGGAGAAACCCCATTTTTCTGAGACATAAACAGCATGCATTTGACACATACACTTTGGGTGACTTAGCAAATAACTCTTCCATAAACAAAGAGGTAATTTCTGACCTTGTTCCTTAAATTGAGAGTTCTGCAGATTTTAGAAATCCATGAGAAAAAGCCCAAGGGGGAAAAACCTGGGATAAAAATGATCATAGAAGATGCAAAAAAGGGAAAAAGAACAGGGGGCAGGGGACCCTGGAGTACGTCTTGTTCTCAAACAATTCAAAGCAACTCCTCTTTGGGGAGAAATTTTTTTTTTTCCAACAGTGCCTTTCAGGCAGATGGTGAAAGAGTTAATTGTCATAGCTGTGAGAATTTCAGTGCCAGAGAGAGGAAAGGGGAGCAACCATGGTTTAGTAGCCTAATAACTTCTAACTCTAGTCTAAGATCATAATGTATGTGCGCGCAGTCTGGTAATTATAAGGTAATAAGTGAAGTGGTGGTATAAGAGCTCTAAATTAAAAGGAATTCACAGGCCTGCTGTAAGTCAGTGCCGACCCGCTTTCTTTCAAACGTTGACTTGAGGAAAGTGCTCAGCCCAGAGTGCAAGCAGGGAGACAAGGAGAGCCATCTATTAATTACAACACTCATTAACAGTGACGGCTACAAGGCAGCAGATGCAGAAAGGAGAGGACTCTGTTGTTGGGGTTGGCGAGGGGGATATTTTTTTCTTCTGTTAGCTCTGGGGAGGGAAGGACAGCCCAAGTGGGAGGGTGAAAACACGGAGATATTTTGGTGGCTTTCTTCTTCCTGTTTGCATTCTGCACATCCCCATATTGCTTGACTTGAGTGAGCAGAGCAGTTTCCCAGCTAAAATGTATTTGGGTGGAAGCAATCCTGTCCTCAATGCTTTGCTCTTGAGACAGCCTGCATGGAACAGTTAGGTGAACATTCCTGATAGAGAATTCCATCTTGCCCTTCATTTGAAAGAAGCAGAACAATGGGAGAAGGGAGACCTGGCAGATAGCATGAAATTTGTACAAAGATAAAATATCATTAGATTTATAGTGAAAGAGATAATTGCATCCCTTTGGTTATACTGTGACTACTCCCCCAAATTCTAGTGAATAACCATTACACAGTGGGATTCCCATAAATCAGCTTTACACAGGGAAGCAATTATCTAAGTCCTTTCTCAACTGTCACCTCTTCTTTCTATGGTGGTCTCTCAGAAGGTTCTCAGAGGGCCTTGCTAAAAGGGGTTTTACCCTATGGCTAAGCGGAAAGACAATAAGACCAACCATATCTTTGCATTTAATTACCTTTTCAGAAATCCAATCACTTATGGGTTCTACAAAAGAAGATGAGTGATATGTTTCTTCTAGATAAGAGAAGTAGTTTGTCAGATTAGATGCTTCATCACATTTCTTTCAGAAGATATGATGTTAATGGGGAAAAAAGTACAGGGCGGAGTGGAGGGACCATTTCAAATCTCATTTTTTCAGGACAAAAATTGATACACTTCTACACTTCTGAATGTGACGTATTAGATTTGTTGGACTCACAGGTGTACTGAAGGTACAAATGACTTTTACTAATTCATCTGTTACAATAAGGGCAAACCACACACAAAAAGACACAAATACATGCATATACTTATTAATCAGTGCTCCCAAGTTTTGTGCATTTAGGAAATAATCCTTAAATATTGGATAGAATTTTGTGCTTGATATCTTTATATGTTGTGAAATGGCTAGGAGATAGAGCAATTTAAATAAAGAAGCAAAGCAATTGAGGATATATTCCTTATGTGTTTTAGTCAGATCAATAAAAGACACAGTTATGCTTATGGAAGCGTGCTGACAAACAGTAATTACAGAGCTAAGGATCATCTGTTCAGTCTTGAAAGATAGAAGTTTGATTCTGCTCATAATAAAATGGATGCGGAATGTACCAGAAGGTGGAAGGAAAGACTGGGTGAGGATAAATACAGTTTTAGAAATGATTTAGACTTTGCAAATCCCTACCTCTTCTACTGATAAATTTAGGATCTCGAGGGCTGATTTATATATTGACAGTGGTTCTCCAAGAGAAAGGTAAAATAAAAGCAATTGGACCCTTTCGAGCCTTTGTTTATGGCCTGTCTGTGCTCTGTGATGTAGCCCTGTCAGGCCCTTACACTGATTACCTTCTTGTAGAACAAGAGATATTGACTAGAGAATGAATGATGTGCATCTCCCAGCCCTCAGGAAGCACTCTCAAAGAACAATGTCTTTAACATGCAAATTCTTCCTGTGGTTTTTTTTTTTTTTTTAATCCTCTCAACTTTCCCTTACCTTTTCATCCTCTCCTTATTTGTACCTCAGTTGGCCTCCATGTCTGACTCTCTCTCTCTCTCTCCCTCTTTCTCTCTCCCTCCATCTCAGGCTTCTCTGCAGAATGTCAAACAAAGATCGACACATTGATTCCAGCTGTTCGTCCTTCATCAAGACGGAACCCTCCAGCCCAGCCTCCCTGACGGACAGCGTCAACCACCACAGTCCTGGTGGCTCTTCAGACGCCAGTGGGAGCTACAGTTCCACCATGAATGGCCATCAGAACGGACTGGACTCGCCACCTCTCTACCCTTCCGCTCCTATCCTGGGAGGTAGCGGGCCTGTCAGGAAACTGTATGATGACTGCTCCAGCACCATTGTTGAAGACCCCCAGACCAAGTGTGAATACATGCTCAACTCGATGCCCAAGAGACTGTGTTTAGTGTGTGGTGACATCGCTTCTGGGTACCACTACGGGGTAGCGTCCTGTGAAGCCTGCAAGGCATTCTTCAAGAGGACAATTCAAGGTTAGTTTTGGAGCTGCTAATACTATGCCTCTTTCCAACTTCGTGTGATATTTTTTCCCCCTTGTTCTTCTTCTTTTTCTTCATTTTTTTTTTTTATACTAGGATTTGAACGCAGGGACATTTTACCACTGAGCTAAATCTCTGGGAGTTTTTAAATTTTTCTTTGGAGACAGGGTCTTGCTAAATTGCGGAGGGCCTCACTAAGTTGCTGAGGCTGGCCTCAAACTTATGACCCTCCTGCCTCAGCCTTCTGAATCACTGGGCATGCACCACCACACCTGGCCCTAGTTATTTTTGCAAATCAACTTGCATGGCATTATTTCTATCTTGAGTAGAAAACAGAAATAGATTAAAATTGATTGTAGAGGATTTATAGAATAAACTCTCCCCAGATATGCTCCTGTCCATTAATTCTGCTTTCACTATTATACTCACACGATGCAAAGATAATGAGAACTGGGTGGAGTTTAAAAGAGTGTAGCTAAGATTAGAGTAACATGGATCTGTGTAACTACTGAGCAAATGCACATTAGATTAATAAGGCTTTTTATCCCTTTGAGTCTTATACATACATTGAAGTAATGAATACTTTAGTGTTTCTCAAACTTGAATATACATCAAAATCACCTGGCAATCTGGTTAAAATGCAGATTACTGGTCCCTCTCCCCAGAGGTTCTTGATTCATTAGATCTGGGTTGGGGGCCTTAGAATTTTTACATTTCCAATAAATTTCCAGATGATGCTGTTTCAGCCAGGGACCACACATTGAGAACCACTGTTTTAGACATATTTAATCACCTACTCATTTTCTTCCTTTCCCCATAGCTAGATTTGCATAAGAGACTTCTAAATTAAACCAATGAAATTTCATTGAATTATAAAATATACCTCCAACACATATAAGTGATGCATATCCAAACCTTTATAAATCACCAGGTTTATAAATAATGTTATTTCTCACAGAAAATATGGAAAAATATAACTAGTTTATATGTACTCCTTTTAAACCGGTAATCCACAAATATAGAACTCAGCTCACTTTCAGATCTACAGATACATACTGACACAAAATTAGATTTTACTTTTTCAATCTCTTGTGATACACTTTTGAAGAAAATGGGAAAAGGAAAATAAAATCATTTATTGAGATCCACAGCACCCAGAGATTCTGCTCAGTGGTTTACAGAACACAACCTTTTTAAAAAAAAAAAAAAAAATTGATGCTGGGATTTAAACCCATACTTTACCACTGAGCTACACCCTGGCCTCCAAAATATATCTTCTTAACAACCAGTTGGGGCGGGCGGGGGAGGGGGCGCTGTGGTTGTAGCTCAATGGTAGAGCTCTGCCTAACATGTGGGGCACTGGGTTCGATCCTCAGCACCACACACTCAAAAATAAATAAATAAATAAATAATACATAAATAAATAAAGGTTTTGTGTCCATCTACATCTATTTTTTTTTTAAATACAACCAGTTGTGGACATAAAGACAATCTTCACTGATATCAGTATTCTCAAGCTTGTCAGCCCATTACTTCAATTTTTTTATTTTAAATACTGATACCAGGGCTTGTGCTTCCACATTCTGAATGAATTGATCTTAGATGAGGCCAAGAAAAAGGAGGGATTTTTGAAAGCTTCCTAGGTGATACTTAATGTAAAATCAAGTTTGGGCTGGGATATAGCTCAGTGGTAGATCACTTGCCTAGCATGTGTGAATTCCCATGTTCAGTCCCCTTAAACACACACACACCACACACAAATGATAATAATAATGTATAATAATGTAAAGCCAAAGAGCTATTAGACTAGTGGGCATAGTGGTGCATGCCTGTAATCTCAGCTACTGGGGAGACTGAGGCAGAATTGAAAGTTCGAGGTCAACCTGGTCAAATTGGAGAGACCATGTCTCAAAATAAAATAAAAAAGTGTTAAGTATGTAGCTCAGTGTTAGAGTACTTGCCTTGAATGTCCTAGGCCTTGGGTTCCATCCTTAGTCCTTCACATAACCCTGGACCTAACAAAAAAGAAACACTGCACCGGTCTGTTCTGTATTCTGTACCAATGGTCCTTAGTGTGGTGGCTTAACCAGCAGTATCAGCTTGCATTTTGTTAGAAATGCAAATTCTTTGGCTTCATCCTGGGTTAACCAAACCAGAATCTCTGGTGGTGAACCCAGTGATCTGTACTTCACCAATCATGCCAAGGGGTTCTGATGGTCACTCTAGTAGGTGAGCCACGGTCCTCCACATTGCTGCTGATTTACTAGTGACATCTGAGCACTGTCATCTTTTGGTAACTTACTGAATATAACCAAAATTAGTCTATTTGGAACCTAAATAACTGCGTAGTGTCCTGATTTTTATGTTGCAAAAGAGGAACTGTTTGTTAAACTCTAATGCTTATAAATATTTTAACGAAAGGTGATACTGGAACCCTTTATGTACACTCACAATATTCCCCACTCTTTCCTTTTAAGAATGTCTGGCAGTTCAACTCTTTTCAGTAAGTTCTACTGAAGATTTTGGCAACTGTCAGTAGTAAATAGTTTGCACTGGCTCCCCCTTGCTTTTTGTTTTGCGTGCTGAGGATCAGACCCACAGAGCTACCACTGATCTCTGCCCTTACCTGTCCCTTGCTTTTGTGTTGCATGCTTGGTCTGTGGTTAAGAACACAGTTTACTTCAAAAGCACAATTTTTCAAGTCATTGTAACCCTATATAATAGAATGACTGTTTCAACCTAACCTCTCCATAGCCTTTCATAGGTTTTGCTGAAGAACTCAAAGTCAAGTGAGTGTGCACTAAAATGTTCTCTAAATATTTTAGTAGCAGTATTTTAATTTTTCGGACTCATCATTATCATATTTCATTAATATTTTCCTAGAAATTCTCATCCACTGGATCTTTATCTCCTTCTATAAATTTAAGGCTTTAATACCTGAGAAAAATTCCTGACAGTTGTTTTTTTTTTTTTTTTTTAAAATAGGTAAAGGTCTAATTTTTGTCTTCAGAAAAGTTATATATGTTCACCTAAAAAAGCAAGTTAAGGCATTTTGTAGAAATGCAGCATAAAATATACACAAGATTTCAGATTCTTTAATAATCTTATTACTTAGATATTAATAGCTATGCAATGGTTGTTTGCTGAGCAATAATTATAACAGAACCATTGGAGTTCTATGCATGATTATTCTTTTGGTAGCTGCGAAGCTACCAAAAGCTTAGCAGAACAAAGCACAGGGTGATTCTTGGCATTGATATATAGTGCTCACTTTCCCTCCATATTGGAGAGAGCAAGTTGCAAGGATTCTGAGTAGGAGACAGAGATGTCACTGTCCAGATTAGCACTCTGGACTTGCCCACCTGGCTGTGCTTGTAGCTGGCAGCTGGGCAGCACTCAGTAAAGCTACCCTGCGAGCTACATCATCAGGCATCACACTGTGGTGCTTACTTAGCCCCAAAAAGCCAGTGAGGCAAATAAAGGGATTAAATTGTGAAAGTATAATGTAATAATTAGGGCGGTAATTGTAAGGAGGATTGGAACGGCCCCTCCTTGTTGTGGCCAAATAGTGATAGCGATTGAACTCCAAAGATGTTGAAAGTAGCCTGAACATATTGTACCATCACAGACTCTTGTTCCTATGCGGAAGGGGCTATGAGTCTGCTCTCATGCCTCCGGGAAGCAGTGTAGCCAAATTATTCTTGACAGATAGCCTCTCCCTCCCTTCCCTTGAAGCTCTCCAGGGAAGGAGAGGAGATTACGTAACTCCCCTTGAGAACAAGTCCTTCTTGAGTAGGACTTAGCAGTAGAAACTGTCTCACAGCTCCAGTGGCCAGGACATTATATAAGCGTGACTTCTACCTCACCAGGGCCTGGTTCTGCTTTCCTGAGCTTGACTAAGGGACATGTACGGAGTGTGGCAATAATGCCTTTTGAGAATCTTTGTTTCTTCCTATGACCATTTATTTTTAGGATTGGTTATTGAATGTGTAATAAATATAAGTGTACAAAGTTGGGCAAGGGAACACTTATTTTACTGTATGAAGTATCATCAAATTCTCGAATGTAAAATAAAACCAATTCAGATCTTCAAACTTAAAAAAAAAAGCTTTTAATTTTAAAAAGGTAAATATGGAGCTAAAAGAACACATATCTAAAACATGTCTTGAGAAAAATAGTAACAATTTTTATTTTCAACTCTGAATGTGGCATTTTGCTTTGTGAAAGTCAGTTAATCATAGATTTTGGTAAAGTCAACTTGAAAGGTGTATTTTATTTATTTGACTATAGCTTCATTGACTCGTTCCAAGTTATTATTGAGAAACAATTGAAAAGGGTTAGCAGTTAAGTAGAATTTAAGGCTTTAGATTTTACTTTTTTTTTTTTTTCTGAACAAACTATTTTGTGTGTATGTGTGCTCGGGATTGAATGCAGGGCCTTGCACATGCTTGTTAGCATTTTCTTCACTATAGAACTTCATCAATGGGCCTCAAAATATTTTTAAGATACTTTTTTAGAGGATTTTGACAGTCCTGACTATCATTTGGTAGGGTTAGAATGTCAGCAATGATTTCATTGTCATTTTGTATTCATGATAATTTGAGGGGTGTGATATAGTTCTTCTCATTATTTTTTCGAATTCCATTATCGGCCTCAGTTCATAGATGAATGGAGATTTGTTTGGGGCTTCTCTTTAACAGTTTCACTGAACTCTGGTTAAGGAAGTAGGAAAAGGAAAACATCTTCATACCCCAAAGAAGTCAATATATATTTCATTATTGAATATACAAAACATGGGTCCCCTGAAATTTTTCTTTCTATGTAAGAATAAGGAAAATCACTTTTGTTTATTTTTTAACATTTTGTGGGTACTAATACCCAACTGCTCATTCTAGTTCTAAGGAGTTCCTCTTCCCCCACATTAAAAAAAATACCTTTATTTCATTTATTTTTATGTGTGCTGAGGATTGAACCCAGTGCCTCATATTTGGGAG